GCAGATAGAATGCATGCCATGTCCCATGGTTTTTGCCAGTACCTCAAAATGAAACCTTGAGCTCTGCTTCCTCCTAGTGCTTGGCTCCTGTCCCAGATCCCACCTACAGCCCTCTGAAAGTTCCCACCTTGCCATCGGAAAGGACACAAAGCCTTTTGCATCCCCTCCTGCTGAAGTGTTCCACTGCCCTGAGCTTCTAGAAAAATACTGATAAAAGCCTGCAGAGCTGCTCTCTGTCCTGCTCTGTGTTTCCATTTCCAAGTCACAGAGACCTCAGCACATGACTCCCACAGGTTGTTTTTTTTCATCTGTATGAAACTTCTTCTTTTCCTACAGAGTTGCCCATTGCCATTCTTCTGGAAATTTAGCTTCCATCTCTCAACTTTTTCACATCTCAAATAGGATTAATACCTATAAATAGTAATCTCACTGCTTTTACAGAAACCTTAAAACATCCCTTGACTTGTCACACAAACTCCAAATGCAAGTAGCACATGTTCTGCTACTGAAAATGGCCAACAGAATTTGCTGATGTGCTGAATTATAGTGGGTCTGGCTAGGATGGGGAGAATTTTGGATCTGATAACACTGGGATATTTTAACTGTTGCTGAATGGTGTCAGAGTCTTCTCTGTTTCTTATTGTGCTCCCCAGTGAGGGGCTGGGGTGCACAAGAGGCTGAGAGGGGACACAGCTGACCCCAGGTGGCCCCAAGGATATTCCATACTCTGTAATATCCTTACTCAGCAATAAAACTGGCAGGAAGTCTTTCCAAAGCCTCCTTGCCTGGATAGTCTGGGCACTGCTCTGCTTATGGAAGGTTGTGAATAAATTCTGTTTTTCAGTCCTTTTTTTCCTCCCTGTTCTTTCCTTCACCTATTAAGCCATCTTTACCTTGATCCATATCAGGGTTTTTGGTTTTTTCTCTTGCAATTCTCCCCCCTATTCTGCTGCAGAGAGGAGACAGGGGAATGAGCAAGCAAATGGGGAGGTCCTCAGTTGCTGGCCAGGGTCAAACCCTGACACTGAAAACAAAATAAAGTTTTGTATGCTCTGTTTCACTCTCCTAATGCTCCCAATCAATCTCAGCCTCTCACAGGTCCCTTCATGCATGAAGAGCCAATGGAAGCTGAAGTGAAATACTACAATAGAGACTTCCAGACATGATGTATAAAATTATCAAAAGATAGATAAAACCATCAAAATTATTGAGGTTTTTTCCTATATACTCTACTCATTGCAGCTCTTACATCCATCACTTGAAGTACAGGGCAGTCTCAATAACAGGCTAGCTCAAACCCTGCACACCATTTACATAAAGGATTTTTACTCTGGCAAAATTAAAAAAAAAATAATATCATGGCAGAAGACATTTAAGTTAAAATTTTAACCAAAACCTATAGCAAATGCAACCCAGAAGAATTTGATGAAAATAAAATCTCTCACAACACAAAGGCAATAAAGTGGAAAGCAGCACAACATTTCACTTATTGGTCCTGAATGTAAGATCTATTATCTACTAAAGCTTCCAGAGGAACAGGAACACTGATCCACAGAAACCAGTACTCCTCCTGATGTCTGATGTGGACAGGTACTACTGCAATTCATGTTTTGTGAAGTTACTGAGTTCACCAATCATCAGGAACAGATCATGTTTCTGTTTTCAAACAGATGTTGAAAGCTGCTGATTTTATTTTCATTTCTGAAAGCGTCCAAAACACCAGAAAACAAAAAGCAACCTCAACCAAAGATCCTCAGCCAAGCCAAAAACTCTACCAGGCAGTACATGACACAGACAAACAGGACTGTAGGCTGCTCTGAAATTTGATGGCAATCCACTGAGAATCTCCCCCAAAATCTGTCCTAAGAACCTTGGAGTGACAGCATAAAATATTTCCACACACCATCAAGCAGAAAAGCCCAATACTTAACTTACTGCCATTTATCTGCATTGGACAGATTGCTGATCCCTTTCAGAATAAATTGCAGCACAGCTGGAAAAAAATCAGCTTGAGGCAGAGCAAAGTGCAGGAGAGTGACCTAAACATCCGGGGACAAAGGTCAGAACTGGAGTTCAAAACAAATTTCCTTTCCAGAGGAGCAAACACTATCACTTTCAGAGATTTCTGCCAGAAGCTTCTCTCTGATGCCTGTGTGGAACTAGCTGTCAGGGGAAGGGTGTTGTTTAGAAGCCAAGTGCCAAATTAATTTGAGAATCAAAATTCTACAAGCCTGTTACGTGGATGGTTTCTCTCAGTGCCCTCATTTTGCTGCCTGTGAGCTGCTGGAGGTTCCCCTGGATTTGTCAAACTGCAGATCCTGCTCTGAATGAGCCATGGGAGCAATGCAAAAAAAAAAAAAAAAACACACAGAGGCAATTCCAGCTCCCAGCCACAGCCACCAGAGCACAAACCCAGTGCCCAGCACACTCAGGGCTTGTCCAGTGTGTGTGCAGACAATTCTAGCAGCATCCTTCAGCTGTGTGCTCTACAATGATCTGAGGCTCTCCAGGCTGTGTCAGTGGCTGGCACAGCCCCAGCACAGCCCCCAGAATGCTCAAGGCAGATGGAGCAGCCAAGGCTGGAACAGCAGAAGGCAGCAGGAGCCAAAAGCCCTCTCAGATGGAAAGATCTGGAAGCAAATGATGAAATAAAACCCCTAAAGATGTGCAGAGAGAACCTCCCTTCACTGCTCGCAGAGAGATTTGTCATGCAAATAGAAACCAGCTCATTCCAGGAAGGAAATGAGTGAAAACAAAGGGATTATTTGATTTTTATCATCATTTATGAAAGGGATTCATCTTATTTCCTGCAGGAAAAAAGGCAACTGCAAGGAAATTTTCACTATCAGACAGCACTTTAGAGATAGTGATGGCTCCAGTCTGGTTTTCAGCTGGATTTGTGGTAACACCAATAATTTTCCAACCTCCTTTCCCACAGTGGCCAGCCCTTGTGTCTGATGAGTGAATAATCATGAATCACCTCAGCAATGGCATCTAAGACATAAATTCCATGCCAGGACATAAACATGCCTGTGTATGGACATAAACATACACACATATAACAACAAGCAATAATAAGTAATAATAATAATCATTACTACTATTATAACAATAATTAAAATAGTAACATAAAATAATAATCACAAAATAATATTTAAGAATGATAGTAGTAATGATAGTAGTAGTAATAATAATAATAACAAAAATAATAATAAAATAATAATAATAATAATTTTAGTCTTTTCAGTGCTTGGAAGAAATTGAGTTTAAAATCAAGTGGTCACTTAGGAGCTCAGGTACCATTTTCACTTGTTGATAGCCATGAATAGGTGGTTTAGTCCAATTGACTCTCAAGTTTCCCAAGAAAAGGAACATTTTCATGGGCAAAGTCTGCTGCTAATGTCACATTATCACATCTTAGTAAAACAAAAAAAAAACCACAGTGTGTTTTACTCTCACAGTAAAATTACATATATTTTTTCCAGTATAAGTGAATCTATTAAATACAGGAGTTTTCTGTCTTAACCTAAATAATATACATACATTTAAAATATATGTACACAACAAAATATAAAAAGAAAGCTAAGACAGCTTCATCCTGCTTTATAGGATTTCAGTCTCATGAATCTCAAATAAAATAATTTAGTTGGTTATGAATTATAAATAAAATACTTTGTAATGAGCATTTTCAACACACTTTAACAATTCCAATACCACTCAGCTGCTTTCCACCCCATTTGGGAGAGTATGCACAAAAAATTGAACATCACAAGGAAGAAAAGACACATGGGATGCAGCAGAATAGTAACTTTGCTGCTAAAAATTACTGCCCTGAATCTGAGGAAGATTTTTTTAGGTGTTTTCCTTGTTGTCTCCAGCTCGTGTATGTGGTGATAGTGAGAGCTCAGTTCTTTATGTGTATAAAACACAGCAGAAGCAGCAAAACGTGCAAACTGCACTCTAAAAGCTGTGGATACATCTCCCCCTGGAGCTCCACAATAACTGATCCCTCTGTTTCATCCAGCTCCTGGCAAGTGCAGCTCCAGTTTTGTGATGTATCCACCAGCAACAGAAGGGAACCAAGGACAACAATTCACTTTTACAGGAGCCACCACGCAGCACTTTCATGGCAAGCATTTTCAATTAGTACCTGCATTCAGCTAAGGTACTTTGGAAGTTAAAATAATTCCATTATACACATTAAATTTACTCATTTGTCCCCATCTTCTCCTGACACATGACCATCCCATCATGTCTGATATGAAAAAGATCAGAGAGATATTTTAAAAGCCCACAAAAATTAATGGACATAGTTAAGACACTGATATTGCCACACTGTTCAAACCATGTACTCCTGAAACATTATGATGATGACATAAAATGAGAAAGGAATCACAACCCTCTCATAGCATCTCATAAAGAAATAATCTGCTAAGAGTTTTTTGCAATGTCTCTTGCTTGCTTCTGTTGCCACCTACTATTTCTGTCAGCACTTGCAATCAGTTTGTTGAGTGAACCCACACAGGATGCAGAAATTTCTCTTTAAAGTGACCAGCTCAGAATTTTCCTGCAATCAGTTTGTTGGGTGAACCCATACAGAATGCAGAAATTTCTCTTTAAAGTGAATTTTCTTCAGCTCAGAATTTTCTTCAGTTTCAGTTCCTGCCTTCAGCACTATGTCAAGAAATTGATTTACACAGCATAGCACTAAAACAGTAAATTTGAATTTAGGAAGATTCACATGCAGTTTAGGTTGAATATCAGGAAGAATGTTTTCACCAAAAGGGTTGTCCAGCACTGGACAGGCTGCCCAGGGAAATGGCTGGATCATGATCCCTGGAGGTGTTTAGAAAATGTGTTTGTGAGGCTTTTAGGGACATGGGTCAGTGGTGGGCTTGGCTGCACTGGGTTAACAACTGGACTCGATTTTAAAGGTATTTTACAACTTAAAATGATTCTAAGATTCTAAAGCATCACTGCCCTAAACTCTGAGCTCACTGCCAGCCACCACTCCATCCAAAACAGGAGGGAGAAAAGATTTCTGCTTGGGATGTTGTGTTTTTAGCCACTGCCCTTTGAGCTTCCAGCAGGTTAAGCTGCAGAAGGGTGGCAGAGGCAGAGGATGCAGAGGATGCAGAAGATGCAGAAGATGCAGAGGATGCAGAGGATGCAGAGGATGCAGAGGATGCAGAGGATGCAGAGGATGCAGAGGATGCAGATGCACAGAGGAGGAGCTGCCTGATGTCTGAGGGGTCCAGCACAGGACCAGGCTCTCGGGGGAAGCCTTGTCCTTCCAGTCCCATCAGCTGCACTGACTTCGAAAAGAGCATTTAGCAGCAGGCACAGATTTACAAAGCAGAACTTCTCACAGCCTCACTGCTGCTTCTATTTCCATTACCAGCACAGCTATCAGTGGGATGCATTCACAGTGGAGGAGGATGACCTGAAAATGGTGCAATTTGGCTGGCAAGCAGCATGACTACATTTCTCCTGCACTGTGATTTGGAGTTAGGCTGGGGAGTGTAGTGTGTACAGCCAAGACAAACACCAGCATTTGTAGTTGGTGAGTGCAACAACATCCAGGCATTCATAACATCACATCTGACAGCCACAGAGCCTGCTGGAAACAGCATGCCAAGCAGGACTCCAAATCTCCCACCAACTCTAATTTCCATTAAATCCCTGTGTCAAAGGACAAGAATATTGTCAGTGACTTTTCTGCTAGCAGGGGGTGAAGCTGGGGAGGCAGAGGGAGGTACAGGAGAAATAAAACCCACAGCACAGATAAACCCGTGAATGCCTTCCCCCTGGTGCACACCTCAGCTATAGGATCACCCTGAGTTTGGTGCACACCTTAGCTATAGGATCAGCTATAGGATCACTCCGAGTTTGGTGCACACCTCAGCTGTAGGATCACTCTGAATTTGGTGCACACCTTAGCTACAGGATCACCCTGAGTGAGTTTTATGATGAAGGCTTTGTACATTGGTGCCTGAAAAATGAGCAGGTGGGAGCACTCTGCTCAGTAAACTGAGCATTTTCTAGTTAGCTTTAGTAGGAATGAAACCACTTTGCTATTTGGTTTAGTTGACAGACACACCCATGTGTACAGACATACACTTCCAGATTAATATGCATAAAATATTTCCACCATGACAGTCACAGTCATTATTTAAACAGCAATTTAGCACAGAAGTTTAGAGAGTTTTGGCCACCTTACCATAGAGAGCTTTTGCACTTGTTCTTGAATTCTGCTCCCTCTCTGCCTGAGCAAACGTTGGGGAGCCATAGCCACTGGAAGAAAACATTTCTGATTATCTTCTGTATTTGGCAGGCACTGAAATAAAACCCCTCCCCTTACATAGGATTACACATACCTACAGCATTAGTAACAGGGAGAATGATACTGGATATTTGTGCCACACCATAAATATGAGGGAGATTGTTTCACTTGGGCTGGTGGCCTTTCTGAGCAATCTTTTGTTGCATTAATATAACATGATGCACAGCTGGGGTGTGGTGTAGAAATAAATACCAACTCAAGTAACAAACTTCACTGCACAATTATAATAATAACGACAATAACAAAAATAATAATGACTGTGCCAAAGAACTGGGTAGGATTTGTTTGGTTTTTTTTTTCCCTGTGTGCACAAATGTTGATTATTTTTAACTGCTTATAATGAAAACTTAAAATGAGTGTCCTTGTCTTACACAAATGAAAAGGCAATATGACTACAAGTGTTTCAAGCATGAGTGACACAGGAGTTCACCTTAAGGGGACAATAATATGAGAAACAGAGGACACCAAAGATATCCTGCTCCATACAGGAACACATACAGGTGTTCCTTGGCATCAGACAGGTAAATTCTCATTAGTGATGTGAGTCAATCTAGTGCCATGCTCCTGATACAGGGATCACCCCCTTATCTTAGGCAAGGTAACACTTGCAGGTAGCAGCTGCTCAGTTCTGCTGACTGGGAAACAGTCTGCTCTCACAGATGGGAGAGGCAGCCTCATCTTTTATACATAAAAATGCATTCACTCAGAGCTAACCTTAAACATCTCAGGCACACCAAGTCCTCCCTGAGTAACATAATCTGGATGTTATGGCTACAGCAATTAATTTTCCTGTTTCTGATGAGTCCCTGCAGCAGCACAGTTCTCCCTTACACTAACACAAAAATCAGACAGCTGATATGTGTCACTTTGGTGCCACGGTTTGCAAACCCCTCTCTCCTCTACAGAAAATTTCATAATTCCACTGGGACCTACTGATTATAGCTCTATCTGAAATGAAAGCCTCCAGAAGGAAGTACAACACTATTTTATCCATTTAGTCCAAGGCATAACCTTACTTCATTTGAGGGAAGTAACTTCCATATCCAGCAGGAGGGGTGTTTGATATGTGTCCATTCATTCTCACTGCGAGAAAACACCTGGGAAAAGAAAAAACCAGCACATGAACAGAGGCCTCCTAAGAGATGAAGGTTTAACACAGATATAATACAAACCTAATGAGGAAATTTGGCCTGAAATGGGAAGGAAATTGCATCAACAAGTTCAGTTGTTATTAACTCCATCCCAGTGATGCCTCAAAGACCCACTGTGGAATTTCTCCCAGTAGCAATTTGATAGTTGTTTGCTTCAAATAATTTATAATTTAGTGAACAAAGCTATTATTTTTGATACAATGGTCTTTAGGAATAGCTGTAGAAATAAAAAGGCTCACTAAACAAAGAACAACATCTACTGCAAAAGTGAACAAGATGTTCCGAATGGCAACTTTATTACTCAAGTCTACTTGATTTCAACCCTCAATTCATTTCTTTCAAATGCAACTTTTGAAATGACCTTTTGATACATATTCTATGAAACATTGTTAGAAAGATGCACTATCAAATTAAAACACAATTGTTTGCACAAAAGGAAACTTGGTTAGCTATTTTGGTACTTAAGAAAACTTTTTATTTTTTTTTTTTTTTTTGTATAAAGCAGTGCTTAAAATCCTGAAAGTTTGGCATGCCAAATGAAATCTTTCCTCTAAAAGCAGTGCTGAAAAGGCCATGATAAAGCAGTTTTAAAATTTCTCCCTGTAATAGCATGTCCATTGAAGTTAAAAGTAACCCTGGGAAGTGACTTTCATAATCCTTTCATATTCAAATTTACCACGGGCAAATATCCTTCCATTTACATTTATACATGAATAATAGAAATTTGAATACGTCTCTACATTTTCAGTCACACTGCAGAACACTCAAAAGTATATCAGATCAAATTTGTACCCACAAAAGCTCAGTTTCCAAAGCAAGCACAACCTTTGTTTGCTCCAGAGCTGCCTCTCAGCCAGTTTATTTTCTGAGCCCTAAGTCCCCTCCCTGCCCCCATTAACTGTTCCCCTCCTGTTTTACAAAGCACCTGCAGTTTTTGACCTGTCAGTACCCCCTGAGTGCCCACATGTGTTCCTGCCACTTCCTTCTTGCGTGCAAAAAAATAATCAAAATCTGGGCTAAGCCCGAAATTCATCAGTCAGTTCAAAAGACACACGAGCTGCTGGTCTTCTGTGCTGACAAGAGAATTTTTGTACCTTTGTGAGGAACACCTGGCCTCAGTGCAGCTAGCAAAACTAACCAGAGCTGAGGGGGATTTGACATGCCAAGTGAAATCATGTGGAAGGGTGCTGATGCTTTCAGTGGGTACTGTTTATTTCTTTATTTTAGTGTCTTTCATTTCCTTTAAAATCTTTGCTCCTTGCAGAACCTCTTTAGTGCCACAAGCACATTTTGCCCCACAAATATATCACAATATCCAAGCTGGCAGCCTGTTTGGCTGCTCCAAGACTTTTTTTTTTTTTTTTTTTTTTTTTTTAATGGAGTGCAATCCTTAGCAGCTGTCTCCAATGAATTACTGCCTGTGCTGAGAGCTGCTCAATTTATTAACAATTACAACCTTTGGGAAGCATCCTGAAATGGTCCCATGACTTGAAAGGACACAACTATTTATTTTCTCAGCAGAATTTGCCAGCTCACTGGGCACTCCCTGTTCCATTTCAGTGGCTGCCTGGACCAGGGCAGCTCAGAGTGCTCCTCTCCAGCCCAGGCTGTCTCTGAGCTCTTCAACACATCCTGTCAGTTCTTCATCATCATCATCATCATCATCATCATCATCAGCGACCATGCTCAATTTGCTGCCCTGCTTAGCAGTTTAAACTGAGATGAGCTTCCCAAAAGTCACCACATCCAAAACACACAAATCATCTCCTCTGCTGGTTGCTCTCCCCACTTTACTTCCCATCCACACATTGTTTAAGATAGCACTCGTTTAATAATAATTCTGTTTGTCATAATCTTTTATGATTTGTAGTCTTTTTTAGAGGACTATTTATAAAAAAAATTCTGCAGCTATCTGCCTTAAAGTGAGATTTGGAGGGGGGAAAATCCCCCTTGGCTTAAAACTTAGAATAATTCCACTGCTCTGACATCTTAATCTGACAAATACTTGGTTTGTATTTGTATTCACTCAATTTTATGGAGGTGGTGAAACAGATATTTCGGGTAGAAGGAATGTAATATACTAGAATGTAATATATTGGAATTTCAAGCTGCAGCCTTTGAAGTCAGCATGACACACTGAATTTAAAAGCAGCAAGAAAGCTGAGCAGCAGATTTTCACATTGGGGAAAGAAACCATCTCTCATGACCAAATACTGGCCCACTGTAAGGCACAACACCACTTAAATACAAAAAGCTTCAGAATTATTTTGAACGAAGAGATACTGAAAATCTAAAGTAAAAAATGTTGACTATTGAAAAAAAAATGCAAATAGCTCGTTCTGCCAAGCAAACACAAAAATTTTGGTCAGCTTTAGCTGATATGCAAACAAACCAATTACTATTAGATAACTGAGTAAAGACAACAATATTTCCTTTCCCTCATGCAATTTTCCTGTGCTTTTGAAGTGCCAGGACAACTCCCTTGACATGAAAATTTCAATGCTATTGCAATTTCATGCAATGCTTCTGTCACTTGGTTCAAGAAACCTCCTGAATGTGAATACAAACAAACCCTTTACCATAATTATTTATAATTAGTGCAAATATTTATAACAGCATCAAAAACTATTTGCAACTCCCCAAAATTATCAGACAATTTGATCTCGTTCAACCTAAGTGTTTCAAGGAAAAAAAAATGGGAAAACTCCTTATTTTTTTAATTAAGTGCATGATGAAGAAAAGTGAAAAACCACCCAAGGTTAAGAGTATGTGCAGGGGTTTATTATTGCAGCTTTCTCTGCTGTGTTTCTCATCTCAAATGCTCTTTCATCTCTTGGAACCAGTCAGTCCTGTAGCAAAAGTCACCCCCTGCACACTGCAAAGCCATTGTCAACCAGGAGTCTATTCATAAACTCCACTTCCTCTTTAATCCTCCCTTTCACCTCAGCCCAGCAGTTCAGAAAAAAATAAAGACTTAAAAATAAACATCCTTGACAATTAACTGCACAACCCCTCTTCAATTAGGCCTGAAGTATCAACAGTTTACTTGTGAATATGGCCAAAAATGGTCACATCTCAGGATCCTAAAAAAAAAAAAAAAAAACAATCGTGCCTGCTCTGAAAAAGAAATGTTTTAAACCAGGAAAGCTAAGTAAGATTTCAAGAAGAAAAGAATAAGTAGAAAATAGATATAATAATAATTAATAATAAGACAAAGACCATGGTATTTATCCTTAAGTGTATTAAAATAATATGTCATTAAAATCAGCTACAAATAGTTATAAATATTATATTTTGAAAAACAAAACAAACAAACAAAAAAAACCCCACAACAACAACAAATTCCACCTAGAATTTCCCTGCTGCCATCAGCTTTATTTTTGAAGGGATATTGACAATCAGCAGCTCTGTTAATGACAAGGATCCTCATGACAACAATGCAATTTCTATGGCACAAAAACAACTCACTGGACTTTTCCACTATGAATATTAATTAATTAATTATTATTAACTATTAAGGTAACACTATTCCCCAGCCAATGTAGCAGTGTCAGATAAGGACACTCTCTCTCCACCCTTCCCTTTTGAAAAGTATCATGGAAGAACAAAACAACAGAGGAAAAATAAAAAAATAAAAAAAAAATCCATGTACTCATAGCTCACTGTGCATTCAGTAAAAATGCCTCTCACTGCTGACTACAGAATGTACAAAAACTGTTTAAATTCCCATTTTTCACCTGTTCCTTCTCAAACCTCATCCCCTTCACCCACACACACAACTTTCCCTATTCTTGCTAAATTTTAAGCAGTGTCTCCTCGTGCCTACCTTGTTTTTCTGACCCATTACTCTCTTATTTGTATTTTCACTCCAGCCACAGATTTTAACAAATGGGAAAACTCCTGAAATGCAGGAACACATCCCGTGGAGCCAGATGAAATTCTGCTGCTGCTGCCCTCAGCTTTGGGGCTGGCTTCAGAGCACAGCCAAGAGCAAACACGAGTTCTGCTGGTTGTTCAACATCTTGCCTCGAGATAAACACCAAAATGCACATGAGTGCATAAGTGAGCAATGCTTGTGAAATGATCCCTGGGGATTTGCCATCCTCAGAGCACTGATAACCAGAATTTCTGTGAGAAAAGCTGCCGTGGGTTGAGCTGGCAGCAGCTTTGTCATTTTTTCAGTTTCCTCTTTGGGAAGGTTGGAGCATCCAAATTTGCTAGAAAGGATGATGGCAAAAACCAATGGAGAAAAATTGAAAGCCAGGCCCTACAAATGCTACAGTTTGAACACAAAATAGATGAATTGGATTCCCCACCAGTGTGGTTGTTGTCCCCTTTGCCTCTCTCTGAATTTATGAGGGGGTTTTGAAGCTTTCTGAGCTCTATATACCCCAGTGTTCACCCTGTGTCCAACAACCAGGAAACATATCAATAGAATAGCCACAATAAAATAATTTTCAAAATGCTGTTTCCTTCAGGATTTCTCTGTATTCAGAGCAGTTGTCCAGCACAGCCATTAGCACTAATTACATTGCATTTTAGTTTATGCAAATCTGCACTTCATTGCATCCTGGCTTTAATCTTTAGTGCTGGATGCAGTGTTAAATAACTGGGGCTCCTGCTAAAGAAACCTGGGCTGGGGAGGAAAAGGCTGGATGTGTCTCCCTCTCCTCCTGAATTTTACTCCTTACAGAAAGGTGAACTTCACCTCAGAATATTATTTACCTCTTTGTGTAAGGGGTAGAAGCATTTCAAGCAACTAAAGACAGTGACAGCCAAAAAATACAATTGTGTCCAGGCAGGGGCCAATGGCAAAGCACAGAGAGTGCCCAGGGGGATTTGTGAATGGATTCTGCTGGTTTTGCCAGTTTTAGAAGGTTTGTGATCTTCACTGACACTTTCTGAAATCTAAGAGTCTTCCCTGAGTCCTTCACTAAGAAGGAGTG